TATGCTTGAGCCCATTGTTGCAGCCACTGTGTCAATCCATCTCATTGAGGGTCTTCCTCTTTTTTGCTGATCCTCTACTTTACCAAGCATGATGCCCTTCTCCAGGGACTGGTCCCTCCTGACGACATGTCCAAAGTGCGTGAGATGGAGTCTCGCCATCCTTGCTTCTAAGGAGCATTCTGGCTGTACTTCTTCCAAGACGGACTTGTGTCCATAGGATATTCAACATTCTTCGCCAACACCATGATTCAAAGGCGTCAGTTCTTTGGTGTTCCTTATTCATTGTCCAGCTTCCACATGCATATGAGGCGATTGAAAATACCATATCTTTGGTCAGGTGCACCTTAGTCCTCAAAGTGACATCTCTGCTTTTTAACACGTTAAAGAGGTCTTTTGCAGCAAATTTTCCCAATGCAATCCTGGACCCTTACTATCTAGATAAGATTGATTCAAACACTTATTCTCTGAATGTGGAAGAACAAAGCCTTTGCCAGGGATCTTGTGTTACCAGGGCAACCTTTGCTTCCTTTGACTCAGCTGAAATCTCGCTTCTCCATCTTATGTTTTAAGATTGTTCCTTTATCTCTGGTCTGACTTCAGCCTACATGAGCGACCCATCTTCTTTTCCTTGAAACCCTCAAATAAATGTGGCTAAAAGGCTGCTGCATGTAGCAGAGCTTTTCCTGGAAGTCTCTAGGTCATGGGCAAAGGTCACTTAAAATCAATATGGATTCACTTGGCCTTGCTGGCACCAGAGAATGCTGATGTTGGCTGTTAAGATCACACACTTAAATCCACTTGCTATGCATTTAATGCATTTAATTGTTAAAGTGGTTGGTGATGCTGGGAAAACCCACTGGCCCTGGCCCTGGAGTCTGAGACACATACAGCACAGGTAGAGCCAGAAATGCTGCCAGCACTAGAGTCATTTAAGAAAGCAAAGTTAAATAGATAGGATTGATAGCTACCATTGAGTCGATTGACTCATGGCAACCTTATGTACAACAGAGCAAAACGTTCCCTAGTTCTGCATCATCCTCACAATTGCCAGCATGTTTAAGTCCATTGTTGTGGCCGTTGTGCCAGTCCATCTCATTGAGGGTCTTCCTCGCCGTCACTGGTCCTCTACTTCATCGAACAAGATATCTCCTCCAGCGATTCATCCCTCCCGATAGCATCTCCAAAGCAAGCAAGTTGGATGATGCTCTATTATGACCCATGTGGCAAATTTTTGGAAGTAAATCACCCAGTCTTTTTTCCTAGTCTGTCTTGGTCTGGTAGCCCTGCTGAAACCTGTCTACCATCGTGACCCTACTGGTATTTGAAGTACCAGTGGCATAGCTTCTAGCATCACAGCAACATGCAAAGCCACCACAGTATGATGAATTGACAGATGGTGGTGGAAAAAAACAAAGTAACAGACGTCAGTCCAGGGCCTAGCCCAGGCTTTACCCACGAAGACTTTTCCTTAAACCTTCAGCAACATGACTCTTTCTGTTTTAGGGTTTGGACCTTCCGAAATGCCCACTGCCAGCCCTACATGACAAATGAATTTAATGATCTTTAATTTATTGAAACTTATCTGTGTATAATGATATGAAATAGACAAAAACGACTTTCATGTACAAATTTTCTATTTTTAACATTGGTATCTTAAGGACTAGAGGTATTTTGACCAGATGGATGGAGCGTACAGATGTGATGAGCATCTCAAGGCAGGTTTGCCAAATATTGTCACTTTATCTTCCTTATTGATTTACGTGTGTGTGTGTGTATATATATGTATATGTATATGAAGGAGCCCTAGTGGTGCAATGGTTAAGCACTGGGCTGCTACCCACCCAGTGGCACTGGGGGAGAAAGACCTGGTGATCCACTCCTGCAAAGACTGAAGCCTAGAAAACCCTATAGAGCAGTTCTACTTGCTATGAGTTGAATCAATACAATGGCACCTGTGATGGTTAAGATTGTGTGTCAGATTGGCTGGGCCATGATTCTCCGTGTTTTAATGTAATCACTCCCATGATTGAATATACTGTGAGTAGCCAATCAGATGAAAGGGAGTCTCCTTGGGGGTGTGGCCCACATCTGTATATAAGCAGACGTTCTGGCTTTTTGCTCTCTGTGGATCCTGCGGCTGCTTCCTGTCATCTCATCTCCTGTTCTTGGGACTTGAGCTGTCAGCTTGTCTGCCGACCCTGGGATTTGTCGATCTGCACAGCCTGTGAGTGGGAGCCCTGCTCTCCGACCTGATCTTGGGCTTGCCAGCTTCTGCAGCTGTGTGACTTGGGAGAGGCCTCTACCCTGATCCATGGACTTGGGATGTTCTAGCCTCTACAATTCTGTGAGCTGTTTTC